GACTGGAAATTTGTATCCATACATACATACACACACACACACACACACACACACACACACACACACACACACACATCCATTTTTTCTGAGGTATGCCAAAACGTTCAAAAACCTTCAAAACGTCGAGAAATGTTAAAATTTTCAATTCCGATTTTCGGCCCATTACAATAACTTACCCTACGGGAAGTTAAAATATTCTCCTCGGGGGATACCACCGTAAAGTATACAAAACTGTGTTTGGAAGTGGCAAAAACGCTGCTACTCGTAAAATTAGCAATTTGAAGTAGTTTCAAAATAAACTTTGGCCCCGAACTGTTTACGATTCTAAAAATAAATTTCGATAAAACGATCCATCCAGCGCTTGATAGTTGTCGGTACGTACACCTCTCATATGTTTATAATCGAAATTTTTTATTACTTCTCATTAATTATAGCAGTAGATATTTTATGAATCATAAATATTGGCTTAATTTTCGACATGACGGACAGCAGAAAGTTTAAATAAAATATTGGTTTTAAAATACATCAAGGAAAAGATTTTACAATATTTCCAGTATTTGGCAATTTTATGGATATTTTAATCGTTAACCTCATTTATTCCACAAGTCCCAGATTGTAATAAATTAATTAAAAGTACTTGGGGTGAATAGAACTATTCACAAATGATAAATAATTGCATTTAATATCTGATTAAGCATCATGACATTATTTGATTTAGGGTCAAATAAGCCAAAAATAGATTTTCAAGAACACATGAGGTCAAACTGTTGCATAAAGCGTGCTGTTTGAAATATTAATTAGACAAATACCTAATATATTAATTCATCTGAATTATTCACTATCTTGGACTTCCCGAAGGTGAAGTTTGTTTTGGCCAGAAAATCCCATTTACTTGTTTCATGTTTTCGATGTTTCAAGTCATGCTGAATTATTTAACACCATAATTGGAAAAATTATGCAAATATGTACCTATGTATCATCTTGAAAGAAAGCCAACATTTTTCCCGACGTTTTCTGAGAAACGGCTGCACCGATCTGAAAAATTCTCAAGACATTATGACATTATTTGATTTTATTCAATACTATTTATTATTATAGAATATAAATACAATTTGTGTAATTGTCTGTTCTTGTTGGCCGCCGAAGGTAGAAGAGGACTTTTGTCGTTGGTCTTTCCTCTTACGTTTAACAACAAATACATAGCATTTTGACCGATTCTACTAGCAATTTATATGAAGAAAAGACTATAACAAAGTGTTGCCATAGCAACGCTATGTTATGATTTATTTTAACGGAGAATTAGCCCCTTAGATGTAATATATGCGTAAATATATTCATTCACAGATGCATATGAAAATTCATATATAAAACATAAGGCATTATATAAAAAGTGTTTTTTCTACTAAGCTCGTTAAATTTAGTAGACTGACCCCTAACCAATCTTCTTAATTTCCACATCCCCCATTAATCATTCAATTAATTACATTTTATTGGCATAAAATTTGATATATGAATTTGTACAGCACGCCTATAAATTCTTATGATAGCAATCGCGAAGGCCGTTCATCAAAACAGTACATTTTTAATCTTCATTTTTTACGGCGGCCTCTGGGCTGCCGACGAAATTTTCAAAATAACTTACAAAACCTAACTCGCGTATAAATACCACACATTCGACTGTTTATATCATTATATAGTTCTATTTATAGAGAACAAGTTTCATATATGATACTACTCTCTTGATGTGTATAAGTCGGCCAGGGATAGCAAATTCGAGGGCCGGGGGGAAAAAAATTTAATAGCTCATCAATTTTAAAAAATCTTACTGCTAAGGATTCAGGTGAAATTATCCGTAACGTCAACGGTGTGAATGATAAAGATTTCCGATTTTTAAATTATTATTTGTTATTATATTTAAATTAAAATTTTAACATTTTGCTAAAAATCCTATAGTGCAGATATCATTTTTGAATCACAACTTTTTCCAAATTTAAAAATGTGTATAATAAATAATAGGAACTGTAAGGGAGTATCGTTATTTTTGATTAATTAAAATCAAGCACATTCTATTAATTGTATTCCCATTATTATTCTAATTATATCTAATGATTATTCTAATTATATTCTCTTTCTTATAAAAATTAATTTAAATCTTTTTATTGGGTTTATTTGGATTTTGAAAAAATTGATTTAATTTTATTTTTCTTTGTTATTATATGATTAAAACTAAATCTACGATAAATTAAAAGAGAATAAATATATTCTCTATTTTCTTTATATATAAAATTTAGGTTCATTCAAAATGAATTTAAAAAATATGAAAATTTAGAGTTTTTAGATTGTATATTTGATTTTGATACACTTCAATTTACTCCATACAGATTAATTAATTAAATCCAGAGAAATAATATGATAGGTCTATTTTATATTTTCTATTTTTAAATTAATAATGAATTTTTAAAATAAATTGAGTATTTCATTACACCCAAAAAATAATATCTGCTGCTCTCTATTTTCAATTTTTAAGTAGTTTTTCGAAATGTATTAACAGAATGGGTTTAATTAGATTTTTAAGCTTTGATTAGATTTTAGATCGCTTATGTAATTTCATAATTAAAAATAAATGTGAGTATATGAGTAAATAATTGGACCCAAAGAAATAAAATCTGCAGATTTATATGAATTCTATTTTCTATTTCTAAGTAGTTTTTCTAGAAATAAAATATTTGTTTATTTAAAATGAATATACAAAATGTAAACCCATTTTAAATATTTTAGAAAGTAGATTTGATTTTGCTCAAGATGAATCTTAAATTTTTGAGAAAGAAGTTTTGATTTTTGATTAAATGTAGAGTAAGCAATTTCATTTCAATAATTAATATCATGGTTTATTTTCTTTTTCTAAGTGTTTATATGAATAAAATATTTGTTTATTATTTTTTTATTGTAGGTTGGGATTTATAGTATTTTTTTAGAAATTGGCCATCAATGAAATTCACGCGTTTGTTCATAGCAATGTACTTGCCCTTCGAAAAGTTATACATATTCATAACTGTTCCTAAACTGTGGGTCGCTACTTGATACTAATGTCACAATTTTTATAAATAAATTCATAACAAATAAAATTTCTTATGATACAGAGCTTAGAATAAATAAGACATGAGTTTTATGTAAAATAGGAAAATCTAATTATATAAAAATTCATTCATTACTGAATGGAAAATATATAGTCCATTAAAAACTGCAATTAAATAATATTTCTACAATTATATTTATTCGTTTAATTTTAATTTACAACCTTTGCAAGCTTGTTTACTTTGTATATTTGAATTCTAATTATATTGTTTCAGTATATATTATAAACTTTGCATTCAAGTTTTCCTAACAAGGAAATAATTTTACATTATTTTATTTACTCTATCTTATGAATTTGCATTTTTGCCAGAAAAAGTTTTATGTGAGAGAACTTTATATAAAAGTATATGGTACAATTGTTAAATGTAAATTTATTTCTCAATAAATTTTTATCTTCCAAAACAAAGGCATGATTAGAATTCTAGAAACTCGTTTTATGGTTTTTTAAATCTCCAAATCAAATTAATAACTGTACTTGTATATCAAAAATTTTATTACACGGTCATTTAAATAAAAAATATTCAGCTAATAAATATGTTAAATTTTTTTGACAGTTTTATAACTAATAATTATAAATAATTATTCAAATTTCGTATTTAGGATCGCTGATTACTCAGCAAATCATAAAATTCTGAATCGATTACAACATTTGCCATAAAAACGATAAATGTCTGCAAACATTTTATTGCTATTAAATTCTTTGAGAGTTTCTGCAACAAAATATGTCGTTATCGTGAAACTAATAAAATCATAAATGGCTCACGGTTGATAATATTACAATTTGTAGAACATGTGAGAAATAATAAAATATTTATTTTGCACATATATTTTCTATAAAGCTAGTTTTATGCTGAGTAGTATTTAATTTACGATTTGTTTTTAATAATATACTTTGTGTATGTAGGTAAATGGTGGTTTAGAAATTTTGATCTTCATGATATACATTAATATACCAGGAAACATCTTAAGCTAATGCACTTGTATGATAACAATTTAGTACTATCATAATTTAGTGAACAAAATGTACATATCACTACATATATAAATATTTTAAATTATTAAGTCTAAACTAGCTATTTTTTACTAAATAGTATTTAATTTACTATTTTCTATTAAGAAAACTCGTTAGCTAATACACATGAGGGTAGTTCTGAAAAACTTCATTGCAGCTTTTAGCAGTATTCTTTTTTTAAAAAAAAAATATTACCTATACAAATAGATTTTCAAAGAATTGAGAAAATTTTTAATATTCAGATTTAAGTTCACCTAGGGTCCACCAAATAACTTTATTTTTTTTAAAATGTACTGAATATTTTCTCAAACTTCTTTTTTATTTGAAAGTACAATTCTTTCGGTTAATAATGGAAAATAATTTTATTCAAATGGCCGCCTAATTTTAAAATGGCTGCCAAAAATTCTTAATGGCTGCCAATCACTTTTGAACAAAATGTGTAACTATATAATTACATGCTGATATAAATTAAGTTGGTATAAGTATTTATTATAATTATCAAAACTATTTAAAAAAAGTTAGTTTTATCTAAATTTCTTCCATTTGGAAACTGCATAACGTTTGGTATCTAATTTAACATTTACCAAGTACGTTGATAATATGCGATTTAAAAGCACTTTACACAAAGATAACAAGTTAAAAATAGCATATATTATTACTATCATGAATAAACTATCGCGGCAACATTTAACAAACCCTATAACTATCTCATAACATTTTTTTTACAAAAACAAAAAAAAGTATCTACACATACAATCAACCACGTGGCGTGACTCTATTTATAGAAATGCGTGCAGTATATTTTCAACTTAAGTGAATGTATTATATATGTCTTGTTGTTATTTTTTTTCAGAAATGCTCCGATTATAAAGCGTCTTTAGTACCTACCTTTGCAAGGACAGAGCCACCTGACACACAGGTAATCTTATATTAATGACTAAGCTGTTTGTTTATTTTTAGTCTGTAATTACTGGTTTTAAAGTGCTTTGATAATGCAATATTATCGGCATTTGTGTCAATCGGATGATTGTTCTTTTATTCGTTTATTAGAGTATAAAAATTTATTTGGTTTTATTCAACTTTAATGGAACTGGTAGCAGAATTAACTAACTTGTTCAATTAACTCATTTTAATCAGAACACTTTATAAGTTGATAATTGCAAATCAAAAGTGTAACACTTATATTTTCAATTCAATTTTGCATATATTTATTATATATGTATGTAAAAAATAATGTATATGATCAAAATTCTTTGTATATCTTCACGTTTCAGTATTTTCTGAACAGTTTGGCATAAGGATGCTACAACGTCTATTGTCACTATTAATTCATTTTGTTAATTCGACTTTATTACCGAAATATGTGTATTAAATTCTTTAGGGCAGTACATCAAGTACAAATAAAAATATTTTATAATCTTTATTTTTTACTTTAGTTATTTTTGTAACTTAAAGTGTATGTAGAGACAATAAACGAGTAATTAGAGATAAGGTGTGTTAATAGAATTAGTAAATATTAATAAAAATTTTACTGATATACTCCTCTGGAGAATTGTATACGTTTATATACAATAATATAGAGTTTAATCTTTTATATCATGTTTCATTTTGACTCATGTGTATTTTCAATACTGATTGTTTATCAAGTATTACGTGTCCAAAGTTATTTTTGTTGTTTGCACGTGCAACAATATTATTGAGCTTACTTTTATTTATGAATTATTATTTGTATATAACGATGCCAATTATTACAATCTTACAATTTTTGTCAAAGAACTCATATTTCTTACCAGGTGACGAAATCCGTGATTTCCTTACTCCGATACTATAACTGGCATAAATTCTCTGTGATCCACGAACATCCTTGGGAAAATGTTGCTCAATCTTTGGAAGAGCAAGCCAAAACTTCCAATCTGACCATTAATCATATGATAGCCGTCCAGGATCCTCATATTTGCTGTGAAAAAAATTTGCCTTGCTGCCAGAGCGGTTATTGGTATCAAGTCATACAGGATACCAAGGACAGAACTCGCAGTAAGTTAATAATAATAATAATAATAATTTTTAAAGAATTTGTACAATGTTAAAGGAAATTTGTACAAGTTAAGTGTTTTAACTTCCCGAAGGAGAAGTTTATAGGTTTCGCCAGAAAATCCAGGGAAAAAAAATTGGCAAAATTAACTTTATTTTCTCAGTTAGTAAACCTTTTTAAATGTTTAGGAAAGTTAAATTTATTTTATTTACGTTGCACTGCATGCTCAAATCAATTTTAATATTAATCTCGATAAATTAATTTTAACATTGATTGATTGATAAGATGTATAAATTATAATAATCCTATGTTTTGAATTAATTAGAAATTTAGTAGGTAATCGAGTCAAACGACGCGGAACGATTTAATTAATAATATTCATGAAATATGATGTATAATAGTATCAACCATCGTGCTAATTAGAAATTCTATTTGTAACATTTATGCTAGTCTGCATTTTTGTTTTCCATAAAGTAATATTAGTTATTTTGTTAAAAATATTGAGCAAATTTGCATAAATTCTATGCGTCGAGTTATTTATAGACTTTTTGTTCTATTATCAATACCTCAGACAATTGTTATCGTTATTTACCTGTAGCAAATTCTATAGAATGTTTTGTTCAATTTTGTTTGAATGTAAATATTAATAAAATAAATATATTTGCTTCTAAAAATAATTAAACTCAAAGAGTTATTTACATGGTTTGTTGATTCAGTGTGCCTTTGTTTTATACCATGATTCCGCACCTGTAATTTTTACTTTTGCCTTTTTATCAAACGAGATAATATTAAGCTTCCAGCGTTATTATAGATGATTTTATTACAAGTTTGTAGATTTTCAAAATGTGTAATCTTCGAAATTTATGGTCCAGGATTAAGATAATAGTTATAAGCCTTGCATGGTCGGATTAATAATAAATTCCACATTTATGAGGCTTGCGTAATGTTGGATCATCATGGTTCGACGTTTTAATAAATTTATAAGATAAAGCTGGGAATATTAAATAACTCTTTATGTTGATGGCAATTTAACTGTGATATAATATATTCATCACACGTCCATATTTTACCTCCGTTTTTATTGGACTAGAAGAGAGATTGTGTAAATTAGAGCTTTTTATGAGGTTTCCTATTTTGTGAGATTGATTTTTTTCTTGTGACTGATTTCTTATACTTCAAAGTATACTATCATGGAACTTACAGAAGTTTGTTTTTGCTAGATTTGTTCATTTTATCTTCTCTCGACGGTTCAAGTATCTAATTTGTAAAAAGTATGCATTTTTGTATGACCGTAGGTGAGCCAAATAATGACCTTTCGTCAATGTTTTCTCTAAAACAACTGCCATGATTTTAAACATTTTAAAACCATTCTAAATAGGTTCAGCTATTTCTTTATAATTTGCAGGAAAGTGCAAAATTTTTCCTCCACTTTTTTGCAAAAAAACCTAAACCGATTCTAAGAATTTTAACCTTTCGAAAGATATTAGTTAGGAATCATTCTGATTAGTTTCTGGTAAAGATTTGTCTAGCCGTTTCTTCGTAATTAATTGTTTTGGTTTATATTTGAGTTAGAGATCATGATTTAAACGAACATCCTAAAATCCTACGAAAAATGATTATTAAAAATTACTACAGTTTGGAAAAATGGGTCATGTTAAAATTTCTTGCTAAATCTCAATTCTTGTAGATATAGTCAATCAGTTACATATATAGGGAAGACCATGCAACTTGCCTCAAGGAATATTTCCACTTGCATCAAACTTTTATCCATAATTTCTTGCTAAATCTCAATTCTTGCAGATATAGTCAATTAGTTACATATATAGGGAAAACCATGCAACTTGCCTTAAGGAATATTTCCACTTGCACCAACTTTTCTAGGGAAGACCATGAAACTTGCCTTATGGAATATTTACACTTGCACCAACTTTTGTTTCTTCATAATTTCTGGTTTATTATATTGCACCATATTTTGGGTATTCAGATTAAGTTTCTCTATTGAGGTTATTCTCCACAACTTTGTCTAAAGAGTTGCTAAAATTTTAATAAAAAAAGTGAAATAAATAATAAGAGTCTTGAGTCTTATTTCTTGAGATTCTTTTGGTACATCACTTGCTATACATTTGGTTTTCGCAAATTTATTTGTTGTTTTAAACATTATTATTTGCTAATATTAATAATTAATTTGCTAACTACTGAGTTGCCTTCTAATTTCCACCTGTTAAATTAACAAATAACTTTCTGAATCTTTATATAATAATAGGCAGATTGTGATTCAAATATAAATAAAATATATGTTTTTTTCTCGGATGTTGGGATATTTTTTAAATTTTAATTCATCATACTAATTTCAGTTTATGTGTTTCTCGGCACCTCGAAGGCTTTGGTAGATATGATGAACACAATGGAGTCTGCACAATTGTTCGAAAATGGAGAATACATGGTTATTTTCGTCGATATGATGACCTATAGTCCTCGAGAGGCTAAAAACTATTTATGGAGTGAGTACACACATTATTGTTATTCAAATCATGATGGTAAAATACTCATTTGATATACATAAATAAGCCTCATCATTAGCTAAATGTAAGGTGACCATATTTTTCTAAGTCAAAACCGGGACGGCAATATTTAGTTATGCTAATCCGGGGGTATATAATAACAGTTTTTTTATATAAATATTTTTTGTTTATAATAATTGCGGACTTTTAGGAAGAACTTATTATTCGATTATATATCATATTTTTTGTTTGTTTTCATAATTTTTGTTAATTCATCTGTTAAAACCGGGACAAAAGATTTAAATCCGGTACAAATCATGCTTTTAAAATAACCCGGGACACAAGGTGGAAATCCGGGACTGTTCCGGCTAATGCGGGAAGTTGGTCACCTTAGCTAAATGTAATTGTTTTGTTTTTTATAGGTTCAGAACAATTATTAAAGAAAGCATCCTGTTACGAGGAACAGGGTTTTCAGAAACGTGCCAAAAGTTTACTAGTCGTCGTTTCAACGCCTCCAACTAAAAACTACGAAAGTTTCACTGAAAAAGTGCGAGAGTTCAATGCCAAGGATCCATTTAATTTTTCAACGCCGACGCTGTTTGAACAGAAAAATTATATACAGGTGGATAGTTAACAAACCAATATATCTGATCTCATGTGGTTTCTGCAAAATGTCTATTTCTCTTACAGTTTGTGTCGATATACGCCGCTTATTTGTACGATTCGGTGAAATTGTACGCGAGAGCGCTGAATGATCTGTTAAGCAGACATCCTGTGGTCACGGATGAAATAATCGATGAAGTTGCCAGTAACGGTACCGAGATTATTAAGACAATAGTCAACTATGGTACTTATATAAGTGAGTAATATAATCTTTTTTATTTTATTTAAAAAAATTAGTTTGTTATTTTAAAGAAATTCATACGAATTATTAATATAATATTAATAAAAGGTAGTTCCTCGTTGGGGTCAAATGGCAAAAAAAAAATTAAAAAAATGACAATTTTTCCTGTCTAGTAATTCTTCTGCATGATGCTTAAAATCTCATAATTTCTGTCGTTTTCTGTCCCTTTTTACCTTAAGTGACTAATAAGTTTGACTTAAATGATCTATTAAGGTTTTTTTGCAGAAAATAGCAGTAATTTGCAAACTATTCTCAGATATTCAGTTGCAAAAATGTTACCAATTGCAGATTACCCAAAGGATATGGGGAGTAAATATGTTTTCAAATTACTGCTGAATTATACAAAAAAAACTGATAGATCATTGAAGGTGTAAAGGGCCAGAAACGACAGAAATTAAAAGATTTTAAATGTATATGAGTTGGTAGATCAAACATGTTGTCATTTTTGTTATTTTTCTCATTTTTTGTAGTTTGACCCCCAATTTGACTTTAGATTTGTCTTCAGCGGTAAAAACCACATTGGGAAACATATGTCGCACACCCAATTCAGACAACTTTTTTTGTGGAGCAGTGTTATTTATTATATTTGTTAGTTTAGAAGGAAACTGAACAGAATAACATAGGGATCATATTAGTAAGATTTATTAGGAATTTGAAGACTATATTTGAAAAATATCTAACAGAACTTAATGGCAATTTGGATAAAAATATTATAGTATACAAATTTTAAAAATAGTTTATTTTTGAAATACTTACACTATTTCTAAGTTTAGTTAATTGACCTTGCTTGTATAGTGTTTCATTTTATATCCTAAATCATTGTTATTTTTTACTTCATGTTATTTTTTCACATACATTATATTTATTTCCATATCATTCTATTATGCACTTTGTTAAATTTTTTACCAACTTCATTTTTGAGCAATTTTTCAGGATATTTTTGCTTGGTAGCATATTCATTAGATTAGATCTATATTTTCAAGTAAAAACGGTTATGAATATACTTGTTTATCTATGACTATTACTTGATATAAACCAAGGTTTTTAACCTCATACACCACGTACTAATACCATAAGTTAAAAAAAGATAAAAAAAATATGTCCAGTCTTATTAAGATATATATTTATTTGATTGATTCTTCTTCCCAGGTGTGACTGGAGCGACGATAAGACTGGACAAAAATGGTGATTCGGAGGGCAATTTCTCTGTCCTGGCATTGAAGCCCTTCAACCTGACCCTGAGGGACGGCGGGACCAACTTTACCTGTGATCACTCAATGATTCCTGTTGGATATTTCCTGTCGACGCACACCGGCGGCGCCAGCGATTCATATCCGGTGCGTGGGAAACACCGGTAACATTCGGTCGTTTATTTTTTTCTTTTCTATTTGGTATTAAAAAAAGAATTAGTAACATTTATCAAAATCTAGTAACAATAATTAATAGATTAATTTCGTAGCAATAATGAAAGATATTATAATTGTGACGAACATAATTTTATTTTTTCAGACGCAAATTCAGCGTATTGGCGGCTTCTTAAATGTGATTTATATGTTATAAAAATCTTTTTGGACGTAAAACATATAAGTCATATTTAAGCAGCCGCCAAAATATAAAAATAAAATTATGTTTGCGTACAAAATTTTTATTAATATTATATTTAATAACTGGTCCGCCAAATAACCTTTTTTGGTATATCTATAAAAAAACACTGAATATTGTCTCAAACTCATTTTTTGAAAGTACAATCCTTACGGTTTGTTTTTTGTTTGAAAATAACCCTCTTTAGGCCTTTTGGTGTGAAATGGCAATGGGATCTCTTTTTGTTCTTTCCTGAATCGAGTTTATTTTAACTCACCCTCTTATAATAGTATATTATATTTTATGGCTATATAACCATGGTCTATATTCTATAATTGGAATATATAGATGAATGTTTATATTTACTTTATACATTCTGGCTAGGTTCCAAACCTTTGTTTAGTGCACAAAAATCTGTCCAAAATACTTACAATTAAATAAGTATATAATATATATTATATATTTAAAATTCATGCTGCAAATTATATGCTTTTAGTTAGTAAGTACTGATATATAATATTTTTTGTTATTAGTAAATTAAAATTATAATTCGAATCTTAATTAAATGCATGGCTTTTCTATGAAAATAACCAATGATTATGATGGTATTATTTTGTTAAGTTTATTGACATTTAAATAATTTAATAATAATTTTTCAATAATGATAATCCTCACATTCAATTTTCAATGAAGTAAAAAATTATGGTCGATGATAATATGAATATATCATCAATTTATTTGAACTATAGACTTTTCTACAAAAATCTGGAACACAGATGGAAATATGGAACTTTCCAGCTCATCCAGGACATTTGACCAAATTATTGCAATAATTTTCATTTTATTCCATACTTTTTTGTTTGAAAATATTTTATTAGCTTTTCTACGTATCTTTTTTACTTTACCTTACGGACGTAACTTCTTTGGTCTATTTATGAGTAAAAAAGATCAATCCTTTCATAGTGTCTTTTGAATGTCGTTTGATATTTTCCTAGTTTTACTATTATATGACGTCTATACCCTTGGATATTTAATCCGATTAATTTAAAATCCTCCCACACTTATTACGTTATCAAATCAATACCAAACTCATCGTGAACTTTATATTTATAAATTCAGGCTTATCAAATCAACCGACGTCTTCTGGTGGACTGGCCGAATGGTGTCCGACCTGAGGATGAACCTTCTTGCGGTTTCCTGAACGAGCAGTGTCCAAAAGACGATTCTCATGTGAATAGTTTAGTTGCTGCAGGAGCCCTGGCGGTTACTTTATTCTGCACCAGTGTTATTATAATGAGTATTTATCGAAAATGGAAGATTGAACAAGAAATTGAAGGTCTGCTGTGGATGATAGATATACATGAGATACATGGATATTTTGGGAATGATATTGTGTCGTCACCCAGTAAGGTTAGTGGAAGTTGTATATTTGCATCTACAAGAGTTATATTCTGAGTCACCAAAAGACTTAATCGTTCAGCAATGGTATGCTTATTCCAACGTGCAGAATTTAGCTACTGGTTCTATTCAGTTATTTGAAATCTTTTAGAGTTTTCTTCAAATTCATTGGACTCTATAGTTGCTTCAAGATTTTTACTGAATTTCAATTTAACAACTGTTTTAACCCATCCACTTGTTTTTTTTTATAGTGTTATCAATATGTGTATAAAATTTCTCCAATAAATCTTTATTACCAATGTTTCTTTTTTTCCAGTTATCTCTAGCAAGTGCGGCATCGTTCGGTTCACGTTGCAGCAATCAATTATTTACTGCAACTGCAAAATTCAGAGGTGTAGTTGTACGAGTCAAAGA